TAAGTGATTCAATAATTGTATTCGTTGTAACACAGTGATGTGGGTGTTCCATTTATAATAGAAGCTACCTCACTAATCACTCCGAACAGAACAAAGTATAACTAAGTGTTAGAAACCGATTTATATCAGATTTATATATTTATTATTATAATTACTATTAGGGTAATTCTTATTCTGGTTAGTAGTTTTCCAGTAAAATTAGGTTTATTCTTAGGATTTTCTAGTATTTCCCTATATATATGTACTTTGGGTCATTCGTCAGATTAAGCAGAAGTTAATAAAGAATTATCTCCCTAAATTCCTATCCCAATCCTCTCAATTCTTGACGTCAATCCCTCTAAAGGCTTATGCCGATTCTCTTCTATTCTTCTCCAATTCTTCTCCCAAATACATAATTCTATCTTCTCAATCCCTAAATTCCCAAATATCACCCAATACGAATCCCGTTAGAAACTTTGTTTCTAACATTTGGTATCAGAGCCCGGTTTCGAGAATTGAGTTCACCATAACTCTCAACCGGGGGCGAGTCTACAACTGATTCGACGATGAGCTCTTCAAAGCTCTCGAACCTGTCGTGGGCAGAGCAGCGTGAACGGGCTCGGCGCATCGGCCGTCGTTGGAGCTCCGAGGAGCTGCCGATCGGGAATGCCGCCACAGCAGGTGAGCAACTGTCGGTTGTGCAGGTTGACTCAGAAGGTGAAGTTGAGAGGCGAGCAGAGCAACCGGACGTGGAAGAGGTTTTGGCAATCGAGCCGCCAGCCACGGAAGAGCTTCCAAACGTCACCAACAAACAGCAGCAGCTTCCGACAGCAACGGTCACCACGACTGCGACTTCACTCCCAACACTGTTTGCAGCGGTTGAACAATCATCCAAGGCTGCCAATGGTACTTTCGCGGTCGTGAGTGAAGAAGAAGGTGATTCTGCTTCTTCCATCCTTGTTCCCGACAGTGAGAAGACCAACGCCTTGGAAGAAGAAACCCAAACCGAGGGTTTGGAGAGGAGACCAACGCCGGGTCAAGTAGCGAGCTGGCGATTTCGGAGGAAGCCGAGGACGGACGAAGAGGAGTTCGGGGCCGCCGCGTTGGCCATCCCTACTACACCGAACGACATTGGGGGCTCGCCCATGTCGCCGCCAGCCACAGTCAAGGAGATCCGTCCGTCAATGGAAGCTAGGATGGAAACGAAGATGGTGTCGCCGGGTAACGATTCGAAGGATTCGTCGGCAAACGAAGTGGACGAGGATGGCTTTCTCCCTCTCCCGAGTGAGGGCAAGTTACAGTCGTCGAAGCCGCCAGAAGACGAACCATCGTCGGAGAACGAGATGGATTCGGGTTTAGCTTTTCGCGGCCTAGTGTTCTCGTTGCTGCAGGGTGAGGACTCGAAGAAGGTGGGCGGCGCGCTCGGGGAGAAGAACTCAAAGACTAGACCACAATCGGGCTGGCACTCGTGTCATCTGGTGAGCCGCTCGCCGTCGAGGATCGAAGAGGAGAAGGAGGAGCAGGGTCGCAGGGGTTCTTCGCCTGCGGTGACTCCAAATATGAAGCCGACCGTTGAGGAGCTGACGTCGGAGGCGGGGCCGGAAGCAAATCGGCTTTCACGCCGACCGTCAACCTGTGTAGGGACGAAGATGGAAGATTCGGAGAACGAGGCGAAGAGATCGACACCGGGAAAGATGGCGCCTCTAGCGTCGGCGACTTCGCTCGGGTCGTCGTTGGATGGGAGGACGGATCAGGTGGTCTGTATGGTGATGTTGGTGATAACGACCAATGAGGGATCAAAGAAGAATCCGGAGGGCGAACCGTAGATGGAATACGCAGCGGAGTTGAAGACAGCGGCCGGGTCGGGTTGTTCGCCGCCGAGAGGGGAGAAGCCGGAGAGAGCGCCGCTGGAGAAAAAGCAGGGAGGCGGCGGTTCTCGTTGTCCCGAGAACCCTAGATCATCAGGACGGGTCTGGGAGCAGCAGCCACAACGAGTCGGGCGGGCCGCGCTCGAGTCCATGGGCCGAGTTTTGTGGGTCGTGGGTCCGAGTCAGCAGAGTGAGCCAAGGGTTGAACTAGAGACGAGCAGGCTGACTCGCAAGATAGGCATCATGAGGCCTGTTGTGGTTCGGTCGAAGCAGGTCGAGAAAGAGCTTGTTGGTTTCGTTTTAGCCCAGTTGGAGCAGCAAAACGGGCCGCGATTTAGAGTGACGCGGGCCGAGGAAGAGTTTAATTGTGGGCCGACACTTGATGAAGTTGAGCCCAACTTGGGTTGTGTATTGAAGGAAGGAGGCTTGGATGATGGGCTTTCAAGTGAGCCAAGCCCAAAAGAAGTTGAAAAGAAGATAAAAGGGCTTAATATTGGTTTGCGCTCTAGCTCTTCCTTTCAAGCATTTGCAGACCTAGTTAAAGATGAAGGAAGAGAAGGTTGTGTTGTCTTCACCTCCAAGCCCATGACGGAATCATTAGCACCGTCCATAGAAGATTTCAAGGTGGTTAATGAGGGCCATGTGGCTAGGGAGGAATCAACGGAAGTCAGAGTTGCAGGTGGGGGATTTGTTCGAGTTCTCGAACCGGATTGGAAGAAAAGGAAGCGCAAGACGCGGAGGAGTAGACACGCGAATCACCCAATTAAGGCAGGAAAACGGATCAAGTCGGTCAACCTTGAGGGCAAGGTTGGTCTGAAGGGGGAGGAGATGTTAGAAACCGATTTATATCGTGTTTATATATTTATTATTATAATTACTATTAGGGTAATTCTTATTATGGTTAGTAGTCTTCTAGTATAATTAGGTTTATTCTTAGGGTTTTCTAGTACTTCCCTATATATATGTACTTTGGGTCATTCATCAGATTAAGCAGAAGTTAATAAAGAATTATCTCCCTAGATTCCTATCCCAATCCTCTCAATTCTTGACCTCAATCCCTCTAAAGGCTTAGGCCGATTCTCTTCTATTCTTCTCCAATTCTTCTCCCAAATCCCTAATTCTATCTTCTCAATCCCTAAATTTCCAAATATCACCCAATACGAATCCCGTTAGAAACTTTGTTTCTAACACTAAGCTAAGGATGTAGTAAAGTAGCTCAGTCGTATTCCAAGGAAACCTTAAACTTACTATTACTTTGCTCCGAATTACTATCTAACCGACTCGGAAGTTTGGGGTAGAACTAACTTACCTAAACAACCAACCAAGTGGTTGGAAGAATGCTTGAAATGAGATGGTTTCCTAGGATTGAATTCGCCGAGCTATAGTTGCTATGTTGGATTGTGGGATAGGATGCAGAACTCTCTAATCTGGGGATTTCAATGACTACTCTCCCTCCTCCTAACACAACCCACAATGACCCAATGTCACCTCAGTCTAATCTTACGTGCCATGGTTGCTCTCATAGTTGCTCTCAATAGCTTTAACCTATCATGCATACTAGAGACGCGCTTCAATAAGAATGCGTGCGACTACTTTAGCGTTGTTCTAGGTAGGTATTCTTAGCAGGGGTTGGGTCGCCACGTCCACTAAAGAACCCTAAGATCATTCATCTATCCTTAATCTTCCAGTTGGTGCTACCCAGACTAACCCTAAAATTTCCACCTAGTGTTAACTCAGTTGTAGGCTAGTAGGGAAGAGATGGGCGATTTATCCAAGCATAATTAAGCATAAATGAAAAATATATTCACTAAGAAGAGGAGGAATGAAAATCATCCTTTTCTCCTTGCTTGCACCTTGTCCTTGCTGCTTGAGTGGATGGAATCTTCAATAAACCCTCCCAAGGTGTTTCCCTCTCTAAAAACTACACAAAATCCAAATTTTCTCACTCTAGGCCGACTCTCCTTCGCCAAGTGAAGGAAAAGGGGCATTTATAGGATGCTGGTGTTGGTCACAACCTCGAGGCGTGACCAGGCCGTGACCAGCCTGGAACGGCTCCGAATCGACTGAACCTTCGCGTTTTCACTTCATATTCAAATTTCGAGATCCCAACCTCCATCGTGAGATCATGGTTGTGATCTTTGGTGTCACGGACGTGATCTTTATCACGGTCGAAAAGCAACTTGGTTGCGATCCAAGTGTCAAAACTTTCCGCCCTTTATTTGCTGCTTGCTGAAGTTCGAGGCCTCTATTCACGGACGTGAACATGGTCACCACCTGGTCAAGGGTTGTGATGTGGCCGTGACCTTTGCTTTTTCTCCCCTTCTTGCTCCTATGCTTCTCAATCGTGCTCGGATGAACTGCAAACGGTTCCCGATCAATCTTAGATGGCTTTAAGTCTTGAAATTACATTAAAAACACTGGAAAAGCATAAAATGCGACAAAGTGCAGTCGATTTCCCCCTGAAAACCTTCATATCAAGCTAATCCATGCAAAAATGGATGTTTTGCAGATTTGAACGGAAATAGGCTTAAACTAACTTGATATTTGGCCTAGACACGGTGATTTATCTCGCAATTGCCTCGAGAATAAAGGCCAAACAACACCTATTTTATGTGTTATCACACGACCTCGTGATGTATGGCTAGCCTTCATCTTGACATTTCCTCGAACAAGTGATGAGAAGACCCCTTGACCCGGACGATAGTTCAACCGCAACCAAAAACTTTCTGGTGCCGGTTGGAAAGGAACCTTCTGATTTAGCTTTACCACTCACAGTGAAATGCCTCGACCACCATGTTGATTCACCAACGGACCTTCCTCGCCGTCAACATTCCCCACTTGTCATTGTTGATTCAAGCCAGCCAACCATTGCAACATTTCGTCAAAAAGGCCCTCCAACCTATCGAAAAGTGCATTCACAGCAGCTATCTGTTGCGATTGATCATTGACTAGGCTATCTGAATCGTTCCACTGAGTGAAGCGAGAGCGAGACGGTTCTTCGCATTCTTCCAGAGAAGTGAGCCTAATTCTTGGGAGTATGATGATACTCGAGTATTATCAAGCGCTGTTCTCTTAACACTTGGCCACCCATAGGATTTGTGTTTGTTTTTTTTTTTTTTTGGGGTTCAATTTATGATTTAACAGAAACAAGTCCTTAATTTGGATATTTAACGCACAAGTCTGGTTGTAACAATTTAACACCTGCGCCAGAAGAAAAGAAGCAAACAACAAAGATAAACCCCAGATGGTTGGTATATGAATCAGCGGGGTATAAAACTCAGTTGAAAAATCACTGAATAAAATAAAAAACAAAAGAAGGAAACAACTTAACTTCTGCTCAGTGACTACAAATTTACTTTTCATTAACAGCAGCAAGAAATGATCCCTCGCCGATGTTCCTTTCCTAGTCACTGAAATCTTCAATCCCATCATCAGAAATCTCGCTTGCTTCCTCGAAATCTGTAATCTCAGCGCTTTGGTTTAACCCATGACCAGACGCTCTATTTCCTTGTAACCTTAACATGCTTGTGTACTCGATAGCCAAGCCTGTCAGATCCATGGAGCTGCGTCCACCATACGCCACAAACCTCTGTGTTCCAATCTGTTTCTGCAGCAACAACCAACAATATCACTACGTATATGAAACACTTGCTCAGATTGCCAGCTAGAGGGGAAATGTTTATGCTACGGAAGAAGAAGAAAAAATCTCCAGCAAAACACAAAAAAGCACAACATTCTGGCACATACTTTATTATCTAGCATTGAACGCTCCACCTGCCATAGCTTTGGCTTCCGAATGGAATGCCACCTGCGCGTTAGAAGGAGAGAGTTGTAAATATCATAGACTCCTCTTGCTCTGGATATACCAAAACTGCTTGCAGCATAAGGTGAAGGACCTGCGAGGTGAAGGGTGAGCATTGCCAAATAACACTCCACGACAAGCAACTGATGCTGCAGCTGACTGAAGTACATTATGCTCCGCCTCGTTGTGTCTGGCCAGCAGTGCTCTGAAGGAAGACAGCAGCAAGTCTGCATCACTTAAATAAGTGGCTACTTCCCAGGCATCCTCCATCGCTTGATCACTTATGAAATCCAAATCTGCAAAAGAAACAGTTTGCTCTAAACTCTTATTAGCTTCAACAAAAACAATGCAAATGGAATTTCATTTCCCAACCTTTATGTTTAGCATTAACACAGGTGGGTTGATGGAAATGAAATTAATGGAACCCACTAAGATTTATTACCACTTTTATCTTTTCACAATCTTCTTTCTGTCTCTTTTTCACATTTCTTTTCCCAATATCTAAAAACACATTTAATTATTTTTCACCATTAAGAACATAATTCATGTTTGTCAGAATTATTTCGAAAACCAGAACTGAAACCGGAATTCTGGAAAAATACGAATTTGAAATGAAAAATCTTTTTCCAGTAACATTTCTTATGGAAATATAGAGCCTGAAACATTCACAAACAGAAAACCAAGAAATCTTGTGTGAATGGATTCGTGGAACTATGCAGACATTCTGTGTCGAAGCAAGAGACAAAGACGATGCAGATACAAGAAAGTGAGCACACCATGTTGAATGAACTTACTATTTTCATGAAGAAAATCAGCAATCAGTCTTGCTTGCCCGTGTGATTGAGAAAGAACCTTTTCCGGAGCTTCCATTTGCAATGGGAACCTGTAGAACTTTTCCTGTACCAGAAATGCATCTTGGTCTGTAATAACAAAAGAAATAAACTCACTCAACGGCTTCAGAATAGGAACATCACATCCTTCTCAACCACATGTACGAGAATAAGCTTAAGTAGGAGTCCGAGTGGTTTAATAACACTGAACCTACCCAATGTGAGACTAACTTCAGTTTCTCTTTTGTTATAAAGAAACTTTCCCAGGGCATGGAATAACGAGAGAGTCTCGTCTTTGCCGAAAAGTGAAGAAACCCCTTTGACCAAATCATCGATTTCTTCAGCGTTTACACTTGAGCAACTCAAACTGGAACTGAGCAATGAAACATTTTCCTTTGGATCTGGCTTAACACAAAAGAGCTGTAAAGATGTAATTGCATGTCTGATATCACCCCCACTGGCTTTGGCTATTAGATTAATCTGATCTGCAGATACATTATATTGCTCCTGGATGCATATTCTGGTAAGCACCTTCTTCATTGAATTATGAGTGATGGGGTTAAACGCAACCTACAAGGGATAACATTTTTTTTAATAATGAATTGGTAGAGGCATGTTGGAGTTCAGTTCAATCTATTGAAGAGAGTAACCTTACTAGCCCCAGCACTCTGAACAGAATTCTGAAGTTCTTCCAAGCATCGGGAAGCTTGGTCTGCCGAATCTTCTTTGCCACCATCAGTGACCACGACAATAGTTGGTAGTTGAGCTGATCTTGTAAGAATAAGCAAGCAGTTTTGAAGCTTCTCCAAAGCAGTTCGTCCGTTTACCAAAGGAAGATCATCGATCAAGAGTACAAACAATTCCTTGGGTGCTATACTAATGGACGAAGGAAGTAACCCATATTTCCTTATTTTCTCAACAAAGTTAACAAATTCATCCAACTTTGAGGTGTATCGTATTCCTAGAACATAACAACAAAATACCAAGAACATCCAGAATCAGATTTATGAATCAGCATGAAGGCATACTAGAAATAAAGCTATTTGGGAGGCTAGAGCGTGTCTTCTGAAGTGTAGCATTCAATGATCAGAGATGACGTGGATGGCTGAGAAGATTAATTGTAGGCAAACCAAAATCACCTGTATCAGAATTATGCACATGCTCACGCCATGTTGTAGGGATAGGCGTGTTCCATTCATACAATGTGACTCCAAATTGAGATGCCATAACACGGATGGTTGCCTACATGACAGGAGCAGGATTTCCTTTTCAGTAAAGAAGTAATATTTTCCATTTAAGATTAATCAGTAAGATATCTGAATCCATGAGTATAATAGGACCATTCATCAGAAAAATTGACATGAGCAGGTTTTAGCAATGCATAATAAACTAATGACCACGAACTTACAGACTTCCCGACCCCTGCTTGTCCAGTTATGATGAGAACATTACTCTCGGAACTCCCCTGCAAAGAGTTGAAGAGGCGGTTTCAAATTTGCCTTACTTCCAAAGAACTTTCTGGAAATGAAACCACTGTTACCTTCGAAGCGTTCAATTTTTCCTCAAACCATCTCTTAACTTCCTCTACCTGCAAGTATATATAATCACTTCAAACCTTTAGATGGCAACCCATAGGAAAGCAAATTGCAGCCAAGTGAACTGACCTTCTTCTTGTGCACAGCAAGTTCTTCCAAAGCCTGAGGTTTATACTTATCCACCCATAGTTCACTGGCATTCGTACTCCCACAACCTGACACAAGGGTACCCTTTAAGTATCGTAGGCAAGGCAACATACAAACTGAAGTGCAATAATAATGAGCTAAACTAGTAACACAATCATAGCGTACCGGATGATACCTTTGACCGAGACAAGCATTGATCGAATTCTTCAAATGATAATCTGATCTGCAGAGGAGAAAGAACAAACCACAGTTAAGGTTTCTGCAGCACCAAACAACTTCGACAAATGATTATCAAAAGGGAAAATGTAAACAATCCCACGCCTCATCTACGAAGCTGGATTCTCTGCTCAATCGTGGTTGGGAACTATTCGAAATGTTAGGTTTCTTCTTCGTCGTCTTCGGTTCCCTAGGGTTAGTAAGAGTGAGCAACTGCTGCTTCGGTTTAATCTTCTTGTGGCTACGAGTCCTCCTACTCGACGACCTCGGACTATCTTCATCGTCATCCGATGATATAATCATTACGCTACTTCTTTTCCCCATCTCCAAGTAGAGCAGGACGGAAATTCTCGCACTGTTTAGGGATTTTGCATCAATGTGACATTAGAACACCACACAGTAACTGAATTCCATGGCAATTAACTATGAGCTGGGAGCTCTCAAGTAACGGCCCTCTGAACCCGAGGCCCCGAGCTGGGCGAAACGATCTCGGGGAGATGACGGAGCGGGATGCTGCAGGACACTGAAGCACAACGGCGAGAAACAAGAGAAAAAGCAAGGAACGGAAGTGTCTCTAGTTTTGGCGGGGATTTTCCCAAGAGCGGCAAAGAGTACAATACTACAATGGAAGCGAACTAGGGATGCGCCGGTTTTGCGATTTTTTTTTTTTAATAACTCACCGACATTTTTTTTTATAATGGGCATGGGTCTTTTATTTAAGCTGGCAAAATTTTAGTTGTTTGCCTTGGTAATACAAGTGATTTATTGGTAAAAAAAAGAAAAAAATTGAAGCTGGCAAAATGCCATTACAGGCACTCCTTCGTAAGAGTTTGAAGAATGAAAACAGGAGGTCTATCGACCCACATTTCAGTTTCTTCCCACCTCCAAGTCACTCTTAGCCATTTGATGGGCAACTCCATTGCCTTTTCTTCCCCAGAATATCCAGCTTACTTCACCAAATTCTGACCTCAGCTCTTGTATCTCGGCCACCACCACCCCCAATTCAGTTTCATTTACCTCTTCCCTGTCCAATTTCTGAATCAGTGACTGACAATTCGATTCCAAAAGGATTGGGCTTCCTACCGTGTCCTCTGCTTAATCGAAGGGCCCATAGCACCGCCTGAGCTTCTACGAGCTTTGGCTCCCAATCCACCCTCGTTCGCTTCACTGCCGCCATTACAAATCTCCCTTCCTCATCGCTTACCACCATCCCCATTCTAGTTCCTCTCTCCTTCACGTTGGATGCATCGACATTTACCTTCAGTTCCCCCCTTCTCGGCTTATCCCACTTCACCACCTGATGAGGTCCTTTCACCTGATTTCCCTTTGCATGCAGCTCCAATATTCCTCTAGGTAACTCTGCGATCTAGCGATTCCTTCACTTTCCTCAAGTTTAGGGTTGTTGAACAAGTGATTATTGTGTTCCTTCCACATAAACCACAAAGCCATCACCACCGAGCAAAGCTCCTCATCTACCACTTTCTCAATTAATCCGCAAAGCCACTCTTCGCTTAATTTCTCCTGTCCTTATGAAAATAGGGTTCCAAGTAGGATAGGCTGCCAAATTCTTCCTTCCCAATCGCAATCTATTAGAATACGCTCATGTGTTTCACAGAGTCCACAGAACGGGCATTCGTCACTAGCTTCCTTCACCGTTCTAGTGAGGTTTCCACTTGTAGGAAGAATGTTGCTTCCCCAACACCAAAGAAAGACTCTAACCTTTGGTGGTAATTGGATATGCCACATTCGTTTCCAATCTATTGGGACATACTGCTCCCCCTCCTCTTCCTTCCTCCGTCTTCTCCACTCATGATACCCGAATTTTACAGTGTACTTGCCTAGTTTGTCCCGTCCCCATACATAGACGTCTGGTTTCTGTCTTCTTGATAGGGGAATCTAAAAACTTCTAACTCGATCCATCATATGAAAATTAGACTGCAACACATTGCTTTTCCAAATCCTTTTGGACTCTTCAATTAACTCAGACACCTTTGCATGTAGTCCCAACAATGAAACAACGGATTCAACCTTAAAGTTGGGACTAGTTGACCCCCATCTATCCCACTAGACACGAACATGTTCTCCATTCCAATCCTCCAGCTTATCCCTTCTTTCATTAGTGGTTGTGCCGCCATAATACTACACCAGATATAGCTAGAATTTTGTCATAGTTCATTCTCTAGAAGGTCACAATTAGGATAGCACTTCGATTTAAGAACTCTACTCACCAACGATTGAGGGTTCTTAATAATGTTCCAGATCTGTCTTCCCAGTAGAGCTATGTTAAGACCATGAAGGTCTCTTAATCTCATACCTCCTTCACTCTTCGGTTCGCTTAGCCTCTCACTGCTCATCCAGCGAATCTTTTTTTCTTCTTTCTTTTGACCCCACCAGAATCCTGTTATGACTCATTGTAGTTCCTGAATCAACCCCTGAGGTATGAGAAAAACAAACATAGCATAGGTATTATGGGCTTGGGCAATGACCTTGATCAGTACTTCCTTAGCAACATTCAATAAGTCTTACTCTTTCACATTTTTACTTTCTTGAGAACTCTGTCAATAAGTTGTGTAACTACCTTCTTTGATCTCTAGCCAAAGATACTTGTCATGATATAGGACTTGCTTCATTCCCAGAATAGTGGCCATCATTTCACGTTCTTCTTCCTTAACATTACCACTGAAAGATAGCTAAGACTTTGGGAGAATGACTTGCTGGCTCGATGCCTCCTCAATATTGTTTAAGTATCCTTTTCATAGCTTCGCCTTGTTCCTTTTTGTTTTCAAAGAAGAAAATACTGTCATCTGAAGAAAAAAAAGTGAAATAGTAGGTCCATTAGAGCTCAATTGAATTCCTTTTAGTTTTCCTTCCTTTTTACTGCCTTATTCGTCAATGTTGATAAGCCTTCAGCACATAAGAGGAAGAGGTACGGGGATATAGGATCACCCTGCCTCAATCCTCTGGTAGGGTAGATAACTTCATAGTAGCGATCATTAATGAGGATCGAATAAGATACTATTTTAACACATTGCATGATCAGATTGACCCATCTAGTGTCAAAACCAAGCTTTAAATGTCATACATCGTGGCAATGTCGAGCTTGGCAGCTACAAAACCTTTCTTTCCCACTTTTATGTTCTTCATGGCATTGAAGCATTCAAATGCCACCATTACATTGTCTGTTATGAATCTCTCGGAGACAAACACACTTTGGTTCTCTATAATTACCTCATTTAGGATACCCTTCAATCGATTTGCTAGGACCTTGGAGAGGATCTTATTTATATAAAACTTTACAAAGGCTAATAGGATGAAACTCCATTGGAGTCTCTGGGCGATTTGGTCTTCGGAATAAGTGCCAGAAAAGTTTGGTTGAGACTTTCTAGAATCTGGTCACTCTCTAAATATGACTATAATTTTGTAGTGACTTGACTCACTCCTACTGTCACCCTAGAAAATGGCCAAGTATAACCACTTCCTAAAGCGTAGTATAGCGGGTCGGGTTTTAATGTCAACCCGGGTCCTAGATATGATGACTACTCGGTGAATTCTTGTTATTTAGCGGTGAACTTTTAGTGAAACTCAAGCAAACAAAACACAAAGCAAGTAAACGGTTTGTTGTCAAGTCAAGAGAGGTCACCCGGATATGGTTTCCCCCTAGACTGCAGTTAAGTCGGATTGCAATTTGCCAAGTTCAGTTTTCATGAAAGTTATACTGCGGAAGGTTCTCAATTAGCCTGAAGTCTCGACTAAAGGTCTCCAGACCCTCTCAATCTGAGTCTCTAGCGGGCGACTAACCTCCACCGGAGTAAACAGATTGAGGCCCTAATGAGCCAAACCTCCACTACCGAATCGACTTCGGTAAAGAATAGCGAATTGGCTCCTCGACTAAAGTCACCAATTCGCCACCTTCGATTAAGGGTACTCTATCAACCTAGGCAGATATTCTCATTCCAGGTCAAAGCAGAAACAACAGGAATTTGATCAGGATTCAAGTCATTCAATCAATCAAACCTCAATCGAATATAATCAATTCACAAACACTGTACTTGGGTTCATACAATCAGACCTAGCATACAAATCTAGGGTTCTCCATACCCAGATGAATGGGGAAACTACTCCATAGAAAAAGAAGCAAAAGCAGATTCAGACACGGAAATCATACTGTGAAGTTGGATTCCTGCTTCTGGACGTTTAATCGCACTTCTCCAAGCTCAAGACGGGCTCCAATGGTGTTGAAGATCGATCTATGGCGCTTGAGAACTCTGGTTCGACGCTTTCTCTCTCTAGGTATCGGTTTCTCTCTCAAAAACTCGGAACCCTGCAATGTTGGCTTTCTTCTCTCTTAAATCCTCTGCCTGGTCGCGATACCCGGTCAGAATACCCGGTCGGGTATTCTGGGTTGTGACCGGGTATTCTGCAGCACACCGTTTCACTAAAGAGGGAAATCCCCGATCCAACACCAAAATCCCCGACCGGGGATTTAACTCCTGTGCCCGGGCCCCTCGCTGCTTCTCGGGCGCCCAAAATTGGTTAATACCCGGTCGGGTATTTGGCCACCTGACCGGGTATTTACCTCCTTCAGCCCTATTCGTCCCAACCTTGCTCCTTTCGGCCCAGAACTCGTTTCTCCGCCTCGATTCCAACGCCGGGACCTGAAATATGATAGAAACACACAACCTAGCGTGAAATCGGCTTAAAACACGAGATTCCTCGTCGCAAACGGCCTCAGAATAGGGGTAAAAACATGTATAATTATCGGTCTATCAAACTCCCCCACACTTAACCGTTTGCTTGTCCCCAAGCAAACCAAGTCAGACACTAGGTAAGCTTACATATTCAATCAACCAACATTGGGGACAAGTCATAAAGGCACAAAACACGTGAATCGCACTGGTTTTCGAACATCAACACATGCACAACCTCAGTAACAACCTGGACAACCACCACAAAGGACATTCGAGTGCAGCAAATCGAGTAAAGGAAGAGTCTCCCGTCTGTTCACTAGCCAACCTAGACTTGATTCAACCACCTACGCAAAACAGTCGACTCATGCATCCAACTCAAAACATCAGAATAAAGATCGAGCAATCTAGGTCCTCACCGGGGTACAAGAGCATATAGAAAATGAAAATGAATCACTCACTCTCGACCAGTGGGGTCAGGACAATTTTGATGCGAAAGATGCGCATGCTATTTCTCTCAATCCCTATCATCTCTTCACCATGATGGCAGCCTCTAAATGCTAGAGTTCACATATGGGGTGTCACCACTAACTAATCAGGAGGTCTTAGACACAGGTTCAAATGACTGGCTAGGGTCTTGGACATGGGGAAAAGGCCTTTTAGGTGGTGGAAGTATTCATAGCAAAAAGGTTCCACATTTTCCAAACACACAATCACAGTCAAACAACCCGGTATTTTCTTTCTGCTATTCTGCATTACTAAATATCTTAAGAGCACAAGAGCGAAGGAGGCATAATCATCAGCATTTCCAAGCCAGACTGCTAAGAAACACTGCTTACTGGGCATTATTCAGATTTTTGGTAGTGGCTCTCTTTTACTTTCAATTTTTCTTTGTTTTCTTTCATTTTTCTTTTCATTTCTTAAGAGAACCAC